GGGAAGCCGGGGAAAAGTTAAGGGCGGGGAAAAAAAATGACACATATGTAATACCCCTTGTAATGCTTTAAGCAATAAAAAAAAATTAAAAAAAAAAAACACGTTAGGAAAAAGTCCAACAGTTCCTCAAAAAAGTTAAACATAAAATTATCATATAACTCAGCAATTCCACTCCTAGGTATATATGCAAGAAAATTAAAGACATATATGTACTCAAAAACTTGTGCACAAATGCTTATAGCAGCATTATTCATAATAGCCCCAAAGTGGAAACAACCCAAATGTCCATCAACAAATCATCAAGTAAACAAAATGTGGTTTTACGCAGTAAGTGGAATATTATTCAGCAATTTTTGAAAAATGAATTACTGATACACACTACAATATGGATAAATCTCAAAACATGATGGTGAGTAAAAGAAACCAGGAACAAAAGTCTGTATGATTCCACCTATGAAATTTCCATAGTAGACGACTCTGTAGACACAGAAGGAAGATTAGTGATTGCCTAGATCTGGAGGAGAAGTGGGTTCTGGGAGGTGAGTGCTCACTTGTGTAGGGGCAGTTTGAATCACAGTGTGATGGTGTAGGCCAGTGGTTGGCAAACTGCGGCTCGCGAGCCACATGCGGCTCTTTGGCCCCTTGAGTGTGGCTCTTCCACAAAATACCGACCACTGCGCATGGGCCACGAAGTTTCAATCGCACTGTACGTGCACACCCACACGTGGTATTTTGTGGAAGAGCCACACTCAAGGGGCCAAAGAGCCACATGTGGCTCGCGAGCCGCAGTTTGCCGACCACTGGTGTAGGCGATGGGATCTCGCCGGGTGGCTGACTAGTGCTTTCTCTGCCTTGCTTGTTTCCGCGTCAGCAGAATTTGAATTGGCTGGCAGTGGGCGGGAAAGGACCCCGGGAAGGCCAGGGTGAAGGCAGTTTCTTGCTCACAGAGGGTGAGCTTACAGTTTCCACTGAACTGTATTCATTGACACCTAAAATCTAGGATGACCAGCCACGGACATGTGGGCGCGACTACTGCTGTGTACAACGCAGTCATCTGGACTACCTCACCACAGAGTCCATTAAATTGGCAGGAAATGCATCAAAAGACTTAAAGGTAAAACATAATTACCCCTCCTCGTTTGAAACTTGCTATTCATGGAGATGAAGAATTGGACTCTCTCATCAAGGCTACGATTGCTAGTGGTGGTGTCATTCCACACGCCCACAAATCTCTGATTGGGAAGAAAGGACAGCAGAAGTCTGTCTAAAGCAGCGGTTCTCAACCTGTGGGTTGCGACCCCTTTGGCGGTCAAATGACCCTTGCGCAGGGGTTGCCTGAGACCATCCTGCATATCAGATATTTACATTATGATTCATAACAGTAGCAACATTACAGTTATGAAGTAGCAACGAAAATAATTTTATGGTTGGGTCACAACATGAGGGACTGTATTTAAAGGGCCAGCCCTAACCGGTTTGGCTCAGTGGACAGAGCGTCGGCCTGCGGACTGAAGGGTCCCAGGTTCGATTCCGGTCAAGGGCACGTACCTTGGTTGCAGGCACATCCCCAGTAGGAGGTGTGCAGGAGGCAGCTGGTCGATGTTTCTCTCTCATCGATGTTTCTAACTCTCTATCCCTCTCCCTTCTTCTCTGTAAAAAAATCAATAAAATATATTTTAAAAATTAAGAAATAAAGGCCAGAAGGTTGAGAACCACTGGACTCTAAAGGATGCTTGGATTTCCTATGATCTCAGGACTCCAAGTACTCTAACAGCTGTCCAGTGTTGGCGAATCCAGGGGACTGTATCTCTGTGGAAAACACAATTTTGCCTTTTTATAATTCTATTTGAGCAAGTTGGAAATTTAATTAGCTTTCCTAGCAACCAAATGTCTGCATTTGAGTCTTAACCTTATTTAAGTGTTACCTGTGGCTTCAAAGAAGCTATTGATTCTAACATAATGAGTTTTGATTGAGATGACTGTTTTTTTTAAAAACTGTTTGGATTTTAACTGTGATACAAAAGTTACATTAACAAATGTATGGTTTTGTACAGACATTATTTCCACTCTGGTGGATAAACTAAAGTCATATCATCCCCCAAAATAAAATATACAGCGTTTCTTTTTGGTGAAAATATTCTAAAATTTATTATGGTTGGATTGTATACTTTCAATGAGTGAATTGTATAGTATGTGAATTACATCTCAGTAAAGCTGTTATTAAAACAATAACAACAGCCCTGGCCAGGTGGCTAGCTGGTTGGACCGTCATCCCATACACCAAAAGGTTTTGGATGCTATTCCCAGTCAGGGCACATACCTAGGTTGTGGATTCGACCCCTGGTCTGGGTGCAAACAGGAGGCAACAGATTCATATTTCTCTGTCACATTCTCTCATTCTCTCTCTCCCCCCCCCCCCCCCCCTCTCTCTTTCTCTCTCCCCCCCCCCCCCCCCCCCCCATTCCTCTCTCTCTTTAAAAATCAACAAAAACATATCCCCAGGTGAGGACTTAAAAACAAAACAACAATCATAACAAAATCACTGCGGGGGGGAGGGGGTCAAGGAGCTGTCCTTGGTCCTGAAGTGTGCTTGTTTTCATACGCTTTCACAGTCGGTCATTTTTTTGTTTATTTATTTGTTCATGGTTACTGCTTTTTTCCCCACCAACATATAAGTTCCAGAAGAGCAAGACCTTGTCTTTTTTATTGACCACTGTATTTACAGCCTAGTCTGGGACTAGCACATAGTAGGCACTCGGTAAATATTTCTTAGATTAATTAATTAATTAATTACTAAGGTCATCTCCACCTTACCCAATTGAAACATATCCCTGCAAAGCCCTGAGTAACAAAGTCATAAGCTTGTTATTGAGGACCTACTATGTGCTACAAACTTGACATTCATTGTGTCCCTTATTTCTTATATCCCCACCTAGATTATAAGCTCCAAAGAAATGGGTTTTTGTCTGTTTCCCTACCATATTCCCAGTAGCTAGCATAGTGCCAGGCACATAGTAGGTACACGGTGAATATCTGATGAATGAATGAATGAACCAGGGCAATGGTTATTTTACTAATTCATTCAACAAATACTCACAGGGCTCTACTATGTTCCAGGGCAGTGCTATATCATTTTATTCTTAAAGCATCTCTCAGACAGTCAGGGATGGTCATCAAACAAAAAAGCAGAGGCTCAGAAAGTGGGGGGATACTTTCCAAAGACCATATAGTCTTCATAGAATAAGGGAAACTAGCATTTACTGAGCACCCATTATATGCAAAGCCATTGATTCATATTATCTCATTTAATTCCCACACCATGACTATGGGGAAGGAACTGGAATTCTAATGGGGGGAGGGGATAAGGAAACAGGCTCAGAGAGGTGATGTCAGTTTCCTGGAACGACACAGCCTGTCTGGCAGAGCACCAGCAGCCCATAGGTGCCTAACACCACCTTTCTCCTCCCACCACCTTGCCCTTAAAGCAGCTAGTCCTGTCTTCCCCAGGTAGGCCACACTCACTCCTGGCAGTTGCTATTGTAGCTGAAGACACATTTCTGAAGACTGTCCAGGGTCATGAGGCTGACATGCTCAAACATATCAAGGGAGACCATTGGACCCTCCGCCAGGCGCCGCCATTTAGCCTGGAAGAGAGAGACAGCAAATGGGCACAAAGAATGCAGACTTAAAGCCTGGCTGACAAGGACCCAGCTGCATGCTCACTACAAGCCCAATACAGATAAAGGAAGTGAGGCTTTGTGGCATCACATGGCTCACCCGCGAGCTGGAGCCTGACCAGTCTCACTTCCAGGACATCTCTGCCCATGAAACCTTGGGACTCACATGCATGATGTTGGTGCACTGATTGAATATCTTCATGTAGGGCTTCAGGATGTCAAAGTGGAAGGCAGGAGTCAGCAGGCGGCGGTGCCGGCTCCACTTCTCACCTTTGCTGAGCAGCAGTCCATCCCCTGGGCCCAGAAGACTGAGGTTAGGGGTCTCTCCTATTACTCTGAGACACCCCAAGAAACCTCATGCTCCACCCCCCTCTTCCCTGAAGCCCTAGCCTACCCAGTCCCACACTCACCTAACCAAGGTTTCAGGAAGCCATAGAAAAGGTCATCCTTGGGGGCAATGGCGGCTGTGGAGACAGAGGAGCAATGATGACTCAATCCAGAATTCTGACCTTTGACCTCTGCTTCTGACCTCCTTGGGACTCCTCTCTGGGCTCCAACCTCCCACCTCACCCCTCCAATCCATCCTAACACCTACCCCAGAAAGATCCTTATAACATGCTGACCTGAACATGAGGCTCCCCTGCTCAAACACCTCCCATGGCTCCCTATCGCCCTGGTAAAAAAAGTTCAAGCTCAGGTTAGCATCAAAATCCCTGTCCCATCTTGCCCCTGTGTGCCTCTCCCACCTCATCCTTCAACATCCACTAAGTAACCCCACATGCTGTCTCTCACTTCCAAACCTTTGCCCAGGCTGTGCTCCCCATCCAGAATGGCCTTCTCCAACTTCATCCATCCCCACTTTTCTGCCAGCTCAGGCCACCGGAATTATATCTTCTATGCTTGCCTCCATCCTTGCCCTCTCCAGCCTGTCCTGAACCGTGGCCCCATGGGGATCTTATCTGACTCTACATCGGACCATGTCCCTTCCTGCACCAGTTTCTCAGCCCATTTTCAAAGCCCTAAGTGAACTACCCCAGTCCAGACCGCTCTCAAAACACCTCTATCCCCACCCCACCCCACCCCACCCCCAACACATACTTCATGTTCTAACATCATAAAACTTTTCTCAGCTCCTTGGGAAAAGCTGTGTTCTCTCTCTGCTTCTTTCCACCAGATGCCTCTCTGCCTCAAACACTCTTTTCTCATCTTTCTAGTCTCTGCGTGAATACCATACCCTCCCCGACCAATCACTCTGAATTCCATCACTCCCGTAACAATCACCTAAAGGGGAGAGACCACGATCATCTCTGATACATTGGTGCTAAATAAATTTTTATTGTATGAATGAATCAATCAAAGAATGAATGGATGGATGGATGGATGGATAGATGGATGAATGAATGAATGAATGAATGAATGAATGAAAAAGCGAATGAATTAGTGAATGGATGAATGAATGGATGGGTAAGTGAGTGGGTGGGTGAATTCTCTTTCTATATGCTAAACAAATTTGGGACAGAATGGGTAGGGGCCTAGGAAGGAAGTACCTGAAACTCAAGTGATGTCACTTTATCTGAGCTGTGACTCAGCTGCCTACACACACACTCCCCAGGAATTGGCCAATCACTCACACAGTCACCTGTCCACTCATTCATTCCCCCATTGAACACAGGCCTCTTCTGCCACCTTTCCGTGCCCAACCCATGCTGGATGATGCTGGAAATCCAGAGATGGCTCAGCTCCACGCCCTGCCTGGAGGAGCTCGGGGCGGGGTGGGTGGGAAAGGGAAGCAGAAGCACGCCATGCAGTTATCAAGATGGTAGGAAGTGTGTCATGAGAGAAGGGAGGCACCGAGAAAAGGCTGTTGGAAGTCAAGGCAAGCTCCCTGGAAGAGGAAATATTGGAGAGGAAAGTGGGAGTCTAGCTGTTCTTCTCCTCTTTGGACTCTGGACTCCGGGCTGGGACTCCCAGAAGGCCTTCTGGCTCACAGACCTGTCCAATGGTTGTCCTTTTCAAATACCTCGCCCCAGAGTAAAACACAAGCTCACTCGCTTTGCACACAGGTACTCTGTGTCCAGCTCCTGTCTAATTTTTTACTTTTCCACACACATCATCTTCACTCCAGACACCCCAGATCGCCTGAATCCCCCCAGCACTGATCGTTGCTACAATGTGAATGAACTTCAAAAACATTATGCTGAGTGAAAGAATTCAGTCACAAAAGACCACATTCTGTATAATTCCTTTCCTATGATATATCCAGAATAGGAAAATCCATAGAGACAGAAAATGGATTAATATTCACCAGGAGATGAGGAGAGGGGGAAATGGTAAGTGATTACTTAATGGGCACAGGGTGTTTTACGGAGTCATGAAAAATTTTGAAATTAGAGAGAGCCGATGGATGGTTGCACAACATTGTGAACACACTAATTATCTTACACTCTAAAACTGTGCACTTTACAATTGTTAATTACATGTTATGTGAATTCCATCTCAATAAAAAATGAATGTATCAAACTAAGCTATAATTATATGCCTATATATCACGCCTTGTCCCCTGTAAAGCATTTTCACCTACTTCCTCGCATTAATGTTCTCTATCCCAAATGCCCATTAGGAGATAAAAAAACAAACAAACAAAAAAACACAGAGGGTCCAAGAGGACTCACGCCTTCCTCAGGGCCCATCAGCTGTGCTGGTTTAAGCTCAGAGCAGCAAGACCCCCAAGGAGGCCCCAGAGGGAGATGGAGTCTGAGTTTTGGGCCAGACCTGTCCCATCCCAGGGGGGTAGGCATGGACGGGCAGGGGCACCCTGAGGCCAGGCCCCACCCTCCCCAACCTGAAGTCCCCATCCTGCTCCTCTGGTGGGGGAGGCCGTGGATATCCTGCCTGTCCTGAAGGAGGGGTGGGGGGAGGAAGAGGCGTCAGCATTTACTTAGTGCCAAGCTCATGTGGGGGCTCTACTTCCTGATCTACTTGGAGTCTCAAACCGAGCAGGATGACATTTAGGAAACTAATGCTCTGGGGGGAGAAGGAAGGGGGCGGGTGAGAAGGGAAAAGGAAGAGGCAGGGAGAGAAAGAAAAACGTGTATATTAAAAAGACAGAAGAGAAGAAACCCTTATTAGCACCTACCTACATTATATTTATTTAGTCTTCACAACAGTCCCATTTTACAGATCAGAAACTGAGGCCCGGAGAGCCTGGATGAATTTCTGGGTCACACAGCAAGTGACCCAGGATCTCTTGATCCTGAGAGCACATGCTCCCGTCAGGATTGGAACCCGCCCACCCAAGGCCTGGCCCCAAGGCTCTTCCCAAACGCAGTGCCCATCCCTTGAAAGAGTCACCTCTCCCAGGGCCTCAGTTCCTCATGTGTGCAACGGGGATGGTCACCCCTCACAAATGCAACAATGGGGGATGTAAAGGCATGGGGAGGGCTTCACAGGGGGAGGGAAGGATGACAGCCCCTTACTCTTTCATGGCTCCTGGTGGCAGCCTTGAAGGCAGTCTCCAGACGTATGTTTGTAGAGGCCCAAGCTGAGGCAAGAGATCCTCAAACTCCTGGGACTCTTTCTTTCTCGTCCCTGTTCTCTCAAATGCCCCTGATGCTTTTGAAGGTGCCCAGCTACCTACATGCGAGACCACACTGAAGACAGAGACAGACACACTCAACCCCAAACAGTGTGGACTGAGAATGGGAAAGTCCCGGAGAGAGGGGTATGGTCTGCTGGGGAGTCGGGGAAACCTTCCAGGAGGAGGGGAGGGGGGTCATTGGAACTGGGTGTTGAAGGCTGAGCAAGAGCTTACCACGCACACGGGAGTCCTACACAATGGGGTAGGTGTGGATTGCAGAAGAAAGAAACAATCCTTCTAGATCTCTCTCTCCGCCAGTCAGAGTCAGCCCAAGTGAAGAAAGCAGGCTATAGGTTGGGATAGTCAGAACCCAAATGATGGGAGTGCCATTAGAATTAAGCAATAACCAGTTAACAAAGTCTTGGGCAAACAACTACTTATTCAAACCTGTTTGCTTCTGACTTCCCAGTGGATGGGCATTCTCTTAAAGTTCCTGGGACTCTATTAACCATACCTTTTCCCATGCTATTCCCACTCTCTGTGTTGCCATTTCTGCTTTGGTGAACTCCTATTCATTCTTCAAAGCCCTACTCAAATGACCCTTATTCTGGATAGCCCACCTGCCTAGAAGCCCTGGTGGACTCTGGGAGTTGAGGGTTTACCCATCACTCAGAGGCCCAGCCCACCTACCTGAGGCGCCCACCACGGGTTTGATGTAATCAGGGTGCACCAGAACCACCAGTGGCAAGACAGGTCCCATCCACACCAAGATCACATGGTGCATGTTGTCCAGCACCTTCTTCTCATCCTGGAGGCCCATCTCATTTGGGAGGTACTGTGGGGGTGGTAGGAAAGGAGAGTGAGGAGGTGTCCAGCCCCAGCTTTTGCCAGTCCTTCCCCCCTGCCGCCTCCCTGCACCCCAAACAAGCCGAGAAGGGCTATATGACTGCAGACAGTGGCTGCACCTCACTGAGCCTCCACTTCCTCATCTGAAAAGTGGGGAAGAATCAACTCTGTCTGAGGACAGTTGAGAGAATTCATGGAATACCAAAGCATCAGAACCCCAACGCGGGGCCTGACACACAGCTGATGCTCAAGAAATAAAAACAGCCCTGACTGGTTTGGCTCAGTGGATAGAGCGTTGGCCTGCGGACTGGAGGGTCCCAGGTTCGATTCCCATCAAGGGCATGTACAATGGTTGCGGGCACATCCCCAGTAGGGAGTGTGCAGGAGGCAGCTGATTGATGTTTCTCTCTCATCAATGTTTCTAACTCTCTATCCCTCTCCCTTCCTCTCTGTAAAAAATCAATCAAATATATTTTAAAAAAAGAAAAGAAATAAAAACAGGCACAGTAAACACGTTCATGATAATGGTTGGTATTTATCAAGTTTTTGCTCTGTTAGTAATAAACTATTCCTAGTATTGTCATATTTAACACATGCGTGTGCTTGCAATGTTAGGCACTGTTTGGGGCATTTTTCACAGATTTATATGTTCAACCCACCCAAGAACCCAGTGACAGAATTGTTACTATTTCACCGTTTTACTTTATCTGAAGTTACAGGTAAGTGGCTGTCCTGGTTTGGCCTCCCCAGAAACAGGTCCTGAGACAAGAGTTCCAGGGAAAGTAGTTTATTTGGGTGACCCCAAAAAACATGGGGAAGGGGAGAAGCGACAGAGGCAGGGAAGGTAGCCAGCAAAGAATAAGTTGTCAAGAAAGTAACCACATGGGCGACCAGGGCTCGGTGCCACGAGGGACCCCTGCGGGACACGTATCTCAGAGTCAACCACCAACTCACACGGTCCCATAGTCACTGGCTGAGAGCCCTCCTGGGGCTTTAACGCTCAGGCTCGCTGTCCACACGGCAGAGTGGGCTCCTGCTGCTGGAAAAAGCCCTGGAACACAGGTGCTGGCAGCCGGAAGTCAGGCCATTGCACCCAGAAATGGGCCCAGAGGATATGGACAGACAGTGGGCACCACCGGCCGTTATGGCGGAGCCAGGATTTGAACACAGGCCACCCGGCCACAACACGCCCGCTCTGAACCAACATGTTCTATGAAAAAGAAACACTTCAGGCTCAATGTCAGATGCATCTGAACTCAAATCCACCCTCAGCCACTGTGTGACCTTGGTCAAGTCACTTAACCTCTCTGAGCCCCAAAGATGGAGTCCATAATATAGGGCAGATCCATCCTTATTTCACAGGCTGTGAGAATTAGGGGAGAGCTCAGATCCGAAAGGGCCTAACCCAGTGCCTGGCCAGTGGTAAGGCCCAGCAATTATAGAATGAATAAATGAACACATGACTCCTCTGTAGCTCCTCTATCAGGATCAGCCTACCTATAGGACCACCATCCAAACCAGAGGAGTAAGGGCACTGGAAATTCAGCATGAAAGATGAGTAGAAGTTCATCTAACAGGAAATTATATTCTGGGCAGAGGGCACAGTTTCAGCAAAGGCCTTGAATGGGGCGGGGGGAAGTGGGCGTCTTGTGACAGGAATAGGAAGTCATTCCATGGGATTGGAGGGGGTTGGTGGAACAGGGGAGGAGGGGAGGAGTTGGAGTAGAAAGGGCCCTGAACACCTTCAGACAGCAGTGGGAAGCCATGGAGCGTGTGTGAGCAGGGGAGGGACATGGTGGATTCAAGAATCTCTCTAGAGACAGGATGGGGGATGGAAGAAGTGAGACCGGAGGCAGGGGCCCAGGGAGGAGGCTGGACCATGGTCCAACGGCGGGGTATGCGGCCTGAGCAGAGGTGAGGATGGAAGAGAGGGATGGGATTCAGGCACAAACAGGCAAAACCTGACGAGTGCTGGCCCCAGGGGGATAATTCCAAAAAATAAGCTAAATAAATGTTCTTGGTACTATTGAGTGGAAACGCATCTCCCACTTCCTTCTTCTGAGACACGCCCTCTAAGCAGTATCTAAAATGTTTCTAGATGTTTCTGTCCCTGCAGGCCCCAGAAGTTGAGCTGCACCACTGTGTAGCCGGTTCCGTGCCAAGCCCGCCCCAGAGGTGACTGCAGGAATCATCAAAACAATCCCATGAGGCTACGAGGCATGACCACAGTCCTTGCAATGCAGATGGGAAGACTGAGGTCTGGAGGGGGAAGGAGCTTGCCCAAGGCCACACAGGCAGTCGCTGGTCGATAAGGGCATCAGGTCCATGGTACCTCTCCCAAGTCCTCTTCCACACTCAGCATGGGGCCTCAGGGCCCTCAGGGGTCTGGACTTCTCTCCCCTGGCCTGCGAAGCCCTTCTAGAAAAGTCCAGCCTTTCTTATCCAGAAAATAGAGGTAGCAGAGGGAAGAGAGCTCAGAGCAGGTGTGTTGGAGCCAGAGAGCCGGGTTTGGACTCCGGCTCTGCCATTCACAAGCTGTGTGACCTAGAGCCAGTCACTTAAGCTCTCTGAGCCTCCGTGTTTTCAGGTGCAGAGTAAGGATAGTAACGGGACCTACCTCCTAGGATTGTCAAGAAGAATAAAGGAGCAAACATTTATAAATCGCCTGGCATAATACTTGGCACATACATGTGAAATAAGAAATAAAATGTGCCCTGGCTGGGTGGCTGAGTTCATTGGAGTGTCGTCTCAAGCACTGAACGGTTGGGGGTTCGATCAAGTACAGAAGGCAGCCGATAGATCTTTCTCTCTCACATCCATGTTTCTTTCTCTCTCTCTCTTTCTCTCTCTCTCTCTCAAATCAAATGTTTATAGAATATATATCTTCAGGTTTGGATTAAGAAAGAAAGAAATGAAATGAAATGAAATGCAAGGAAAGGGTTGGCGCCCTGACCTGGGACTACACCATTAAAGAGGGAGATAAAGTATGGAACAAAGTTGGGGTTGGGGATGGAGCAACAAAATCTACAGGACCATGCCCCCCTCATCCCCCACCCAGGCCCTAGAATCTAATGAACTTCACAGGCATTGGTACCTGTATTCTGAATATTATATCTTATTATATCATCAGATATAACCTATATCATATGAAAGGTACAGCCATAGCCTGGAATTACAGAGGAAACTTTGCCGTAAGCTCTGCCTCATCCCAGCCACATGACCTTGGGCAAACTGCTTGCCCTTTCTGAGCCTCAGTCTTACATCCTGGCTCCAACCAGTTTCTTGGGGGGGATGAGGAAAGCCAACAGTCCATCAGGCTCCCTGAATGCATGGGATCTGCCCAGCCCGGCCCGCCCGGCCCACACGCACCATGCCCAGGTGGCCCAGCAGCCTTTTTTTGCGCCGGGGTGGCTGGGGGAAGCAGCGCAGCCGGCGGCAGGTGACATAGAAGTGCCAGCAGAGCCGCAGGAACCGCAGCAGCAGGTGGAAGAGGAAGAAGAGCAGGGAGAGGAGGAGCGCAGACACGGCATACAGGCGGAAGGCGGTCTTCTCCAGTCCCAGCAGGTGCAGCAGATGTTCCGTGATGGGCAGCATCCTGGGGGGACACACGGGGTAGGGGTCAGTGCCGACAGAAACCGCCCTCCGGCCACCCGTATGCCATATGCATATGCACAGTGACCTGTGGAGTCAAGCCTGCTGTGCCTGGCACACAGTAGGTGCTCAATTCCTGTGAGTTCCAGAGGCCAAGAGTACATCTCTCTCCTGCCCTCAGCAGTGGTCTCCGCCAGCTGGCCAGACGGATGCCCCAGTGCCCACCACATGTCCTCAGCCTTGACTTTGCGGGACATCCCTCCTGACTTCTCTGCCCCCGTGGCTGGTCAGAGTGCTGGAGAATGAAGACACGCCCTGCCCCCAAAGCAGCTCTCATCAAAGACGGGGGAGCATTGCTAGATAAAGACGCCAGCGCCTTCTCCCCTTGGGTGCCATGACCCTGAGGTGTGGGTTCCACGTGCACTACCAATGGGGTTAAACTCCAGCTGGCCACAATAGAAAGTTTCTCTGTGAAATGCTCCACTTCTTTCTCCTCCTCCTTGCCCTCCTCCACCTTCACCTCCTCCTTCTTTAAATTGAGATAAGGGTCACACGACATAGAAGGCACCATTTTAAAGTTCACAGTCCAGTGGCACCTAGTGCATTCACACTGTTGTGCAACCATCAACTCTATCTAGTCCCAAAATGTTGTCATCACCCTAAAAGGAAACCCCGTCCCCCTGAGCAGTCACTCCTCATTCCCCCCATACCTACAGCCCCTGGCAGCCACTGATCTACTTGCTGTCTTTGTGTATTTACCTGTTCTGGACATTTCATATCAATGGAATCATACCACATGTGACCTGTGTTTGGCTTCTTGGACTCGGCATGATATTCTCGAGGTTCATCCACTTTGTGACATGCGTCAGCGCTTTATTTCTTCTGCTGAGTGACTTTCCATGGTAAGGATATATCACAATGTGTTTATTCATCCATCTGTTGATGGACAGCTTAGATGTCTCCACCTTTTGCCTATTGGGACATGTGCTGCTATGCATCTGTGTGGACATGTATTTGTTTGAGTCCCTGTTTTCACTTCTTTCAGGTTCACATCCTCCTTGCTTTTTCTGGGATCACTTCCCAGATAAACTGCTTGCCCTCAAATCCCTGATCTAGGGTCAGCTCCTGAAGCAGCCAACCAAAACAAGGTGGGTGGGTAACAATGATAACTCAGTGACTAGATACGGTGCCCTTACTACACGCTGTCTCATGGAATCTTAAATCAATCCTTAGAGGGAGGTCCCATCATTCTCTCTATTTTCTTTTCTTTAAAAAGAAATGCTTTATTGATTTCAGAGATAGGGAGAGGGAGAAAGAGATAGAAACATGAATGATGAGAAAATCATTGATCGGCTGCCTCCTGCACACCCCACACTGGGGATTGAGCCTGAAACCCAACCATGTGCCCTGACTGGGATCGAACTGTGACCTCCTGGTTCATGGGTCAATGCTCAACCACTGAGCCACACCAGCCAGGCTCATTCTCGCTATTTTCCAGACAACTAAACGTCCATTCCCCCAGCTCAAGGGAGACAAGAGCTGGCCCCAGAAGACCCCATCAGAGATCAACCTCAATCGCCCTCACAGGGGGAGCCCATCAATCTCAGGCAATGCCAAGGGGATTCCTGAAAGGGTGGGTCCTGTCCTCACCTCTTCTTTCTACCCAGTCCTACTAGACAAGGGTTCCCTCTATGCTCCTACTTCCTCCGGCAACAAAGATGAAGAAACCCTGCACTTCAGGTCCCCACCTGAGCCTCAGTCCCCACCCACTCCAGCTGGTGGTGCCCCTGGGCTCAGACTCCCAGGCTCTTCCACCTGCTGACGTCCAGCCACATCAACCGTGCAGGAAACATGAAGTTTCTATTGGTCACTGCGTCCTGGGAAACGATCTGGGTAGATCATCACCAGATTTGGAGAGGCCCACTGGGATGGTCTGACTTAAAACGAAGATGACACGAACTCTTGTTAGGATGGCTACTACCCAAAACAGGAAATAACAAGTGCTGGCCAGGATGCAGAGGAACCGAAATGCATATGTATTGCCGCTGGGAATGTAACATGGTACAGCCAGGTTGTGGAAAACAGTATGGAAGTTCCTCAAAAGAAATGAAACAGAATTGCCGTGTGTTCCAGCAATCCCATTTCTGGATGGATCTCTAAAAGAAGCAAAAGTAGGGGCTCAGATATTTGTGCATTCATGTCCACAGCAGCCTTATTCATAATGGCCAATAGGTGGGAGCAACCCAAGTGTCCATAGAAGGATGAATGGATAAACAAAATGGGGTACATCTATACAACGGACTATTACTCAGCCCTGAAAACTAAATTCTGACACATATTATAACATGAATGAACCTCGAGGACATTGTGTTAAGTGAAATAAGCCAGTCACACCAGAAACAAATACTGTGAGGTCCACCTCCATGAGGTCCTGAGAGTAGTCACAGAAAGTA